AAACAATCAATAGCCTTGTTAGTTGATTGAATGAGCAGTAGGAGGAACTTTCGAGATGGGCGTGGCTACTACGAATGATCCGAGTTGGACACCGAACTACAACCTCAAAGAACGATCAACAACTATTTGAAGGTTCAATGATGTCCACATGATAAACAACCAAGAAACAACAACCAGAAAAGGATAAGAAACTGATAGTTCATGTGAATTCTATAACAATCGACTGACGAGAACAAGGAAAGGAAAGAATAACTTCAGGCTCATGAAAGTTTCAATTCATAGGGTGGTTAGTTAGTTAATTTTCGGCTTTAAGTATACATATGTTCATGTTGTCAGTGCTTGTTTCACTCAACAGCAAACCTCTGGTAACCCACGATTTCTTTTCTATGAACAGCCCAGATTACAAAATCAATTTGAAATCGTAAGATTTAATCTTCGAAAATGAAACAATAACAAGTATAACAAGCATCAACAATATCAACATTGAAAACCTAACAACTCGCTAATACGCTTTACGATTAGCTGTACATCCTCTTGACATCGGGTGACAACGCTCACACAAACGGCAATGATTATACATCTCCTTAACACATCTCATGCAACGATCACAATGCACATACTTCGAACCATCCTGTAATGAAAGATGAAGATGTTTAGTTCAAATGGAAGTTAACATACCCTACTAACACATTTCATGCACATATAGCAATGATGGTTATCATCGCTGACGTATATTTCACACATATCGCAAAAACTTAATATGTTTCATTAGCTAGGATCAATTATAGCAACATACTGATATCCGGGAACATCCTTAAGGTCGAAAACATTCTTGTCCAAATCAGAGATGATACGCACACTTGTGCGTTTAGATTTTGAGAAGTTCTTATGATTGTCATAGGTAACCTGTATGTAACGATGTTATTGTAGAATTGAAACAGTCACGTACTCTATAATCGCATAACCAAAATGAAGGATCCAGACGCATTATGTGTTTATCTAGGAAGAACGGGACTATATAAGCTGTATTTACTTTTGACTTTTTGCCTTTTCTATAACATGTATGTTAGTCTTATAATTTTTGGTGAGTTTACCGGGCCGCCATGTATCTTGCTATGTTCTTCTTGATTGACTCTACAAGTGGATCAAGGATAACTCCGAATGGTGGATCACAAACTATTAAGAGAGAGGAGCATTTCTAAAATAACCCAATTTAGAATCCTCACACTCATGCAGACTGACCGCGAAAAAGTTGTTGAGTTTCTGCTCCGCCTTTGGATCAAAGAAGTGATCAACTAACATACTATACTGAGCATACTGCAGTGATTGGTAGAAATGGGCCTATAACAGGAGACGAAGACAGTCACCAAAAGAGTTTCGGACTCAAACGTACATATCTGCGGTCAAAATCTAGCATGAAGATGTGTTTCTTGTCTTCCTTATCATTTTTTAATGTTTCGAAAAGCTAAATTAGGTGATCACTAAAAGTTGAAGTCATTTGGAACAACCCTCGGTGCTCCAATACAGAGGACGCCATCAATCTTGGCATTCTTGATAGCAGCGGTCATTACTGAGAGGGCATCGTCAGAGAAGAAGTATTGCTTAATGATAAAAATAACTATTCATAGAGAACGACAAACTAACTGCTTCTCCTGTCTGAGACTCGAGAGATTCCAATAGTTTACTTGGGTTTTTCAATTGCTTCCTTGTAACAGGCTCACAAGGACATCTGTGTTTACCTTCAAATACATCGTCGCATAGGCGACAGTACAGTAGTTCGGCATGTAACGAAATAGTTTTAAGCCTACAAGATAAATGGTAAAATTGTAGCGGTCATTCCACTCACTTCTTAGGTATCACACCGTAATCCCACTTTGGCTTTTGTTGTCCAGGAAAAGGTAGAGGAGGACAGTTTTCAGGCATTCCCAAACTGCCATCTTCTCGTAGCTCACACTTGTATGCACATTCCTCCGGATTTTCTCTGAAAGCCAGCATATTCAAACGCTCCGAGAGGGGGCTTTACCTGTAGACTGCACAAGCGAAAAATTTCCTTACGATTTCACCTTGTTTCTTGACACCGAAGAGAAGACAAGGTCCTGAACTACGTACATATAGGTTTCTTAGAAAAGACATACCATGTGAACATGAAGGTATTTGTTCTATTCCTTCGGGAGAAAGAACTGCGTACGTGCTTTGTGGTCTGAAAAGATACAGATAGACCCTTCTCAGTGAGGTTTAAAAACTTAAACGATTGCTCCTGTTCAGGGTCGGGCTCTCTCTTGGTGAACACCCTATCCCTGTTTCTTGGATGAGAGAAAAACTGTTTCTTTTGAGCTTTAGATTTGTATTTAGTCATCTGTACTATTAAAGAGTGAGACCATGATAAGAGTTTGATTAAGATATGATGTGTGTAGTCTATACACCATGAACAAAGTAAAAAAACATTTTTCTAAAAATATTCATCTATGTCTATTCCCAAGCAAAATCATACACTTCAAGGGGTTTAAGAATATTATGGATACAAAGTTGTTCTTGAATGTATCATCTCTTCTCGAAAAGAATAGTCTACATTTAAAGAGCGAAAACCATCTCGAAAGCTTTGGTGAGTCCTACATCGTTGGTGTTGAAATGGAGGAGTCCTGAAACAATTGGATTAGTTTACGTATCTAAGGTTGTTCGAACCGGCAAGGAGTAAAGCAGAGACCACATACAGACCACCTCTAGCGGCCTTAGCAGCACCGCTTCCAATTACAAATGGGCGAGCATAATCGGCAATTACTCCTTGGACTCCCCTGAAATTCAACATATTAGAACCAAGGGTGATACTCGCAGTTTACCAGTGAATATGGAGGGTAAGGGCGATAGTTAAAGCAGCGTCCATTACTGGTCCATGGACGAAATAAGCAGCGGGGAGGAGTGGAAGCATTCCTACGGCAAACATGCGCTCAATCTGAAAATATGATGTTTTGGGGAAATATAAGTTTGATACCTTGAAGTGAGTGGAGTGATCATGAGCTTTGCTGGCCCCGTCATTCAAGGTGGTGGCAAGTCTAGCTGGTACGCAAAGTCTTGGGGCGTTGCGAGCTGACAAAAGGGCGCGTTGGTAGACAAGAGCTTGACGGAAGGCCATCCTATAAGAATATATATATAAAACAGATTTATCATAAATGAAACATTATTAGAAGATCATGCTGAAGAATGGAATTAAAAGTTGTAAACTTGTGCGTGTTGATCAAAAGTTTACTTTCTACTCTACGTATACATTTTTCGTGTAACGATTGTTTTGCATATTCACTTGTTGTAGTGCTTTTCATAGAATTACTATTGCCCAAAGGTTCCAATTTGTTCCAAAAACGATATAGTGTTGTTATTTTTCAATGGAAGCAGCTAAACGTAAAGCTTTCTCTTTATACGACGATGAAGACGAGGAGGAAACTACTTCTGTTCCTCCGAAAAAGTCAAATGGTATGTCATTGTCTATGAGGTAGGCATGAAATGGGAAAATATATAGACAGCAAAGAAGAAGAAAAAGTAGAAGTTGCTAATAAGGATGAAGAACTATGTAATAATTCCGAGAAAAATTGTGATGATGAAGCTGAACAGCATAGTTGCATGACAGCTTGTAGAGGAATCGGTAGGATGAGGGGAAGAGAATTTCTATGAGGAACTTTGTTTCAGAAATGTATGCCAGTGCTGCTCGTCAAGGAGAAAGACCTGAGATGGAAGATGCTCAAATCGAACATATCAAATTTGATCTAGAGAAACCTTTTTTGTAGAGTTACATCTGGGAACTTGAAAACTTATAAATTGAAATTCAGGAAACGCTGTGCATTGTTCGCCATATTCGATGGACATGCAGGAAGCAAAGCTTCAAAGTATTGCGAGAAAGTCTTCGCCGAAACATTAAAAAAACATTTATCCAGCTGTAGGGATTGCTTTCCGTTCCTTCTAACCCTTCTTCTTCAGTTAATGATCTAGCCACATTAGAAAAATCTCTGAAGAGAGTTTTCACTGACGTGTACAAGTCCATTGATGATGCATTTTTAAATGATGCTAGGAATGAGTACGAAGTTTTCTTGCAATTTGTCCTCACACTTCATATTTCTTTTAGGAAACCCATGTGGAAAGACGGGACGACAGTGACAAATGTCCTTTTCCTAAACAACTCCATATATGTAGCGAATATCGGTGACAGTCGAGTCGGTTATTAGTGACGTAGATGGTCATATGAGTTTTCTCTTCAGGCACTAGTATGTAGGCAGAAGAAAGGAGAAAAAGCAATCACAATACAGTTGACAGTAGATCATAACCCGTCAGTGTACGATGAGAGAGTAAGAATTCAAAAGGCTGGTGGATTCGTCAAGTACGTTGACCTACCAACCAATGTGTGGGCTGAAATTTTGGCTCAACATGGAAACCTTGATAATGAACTGTATGAAATGATTATTATAGAGATGGTCGTATCAATGGATCAATCGAAGTTTCCAGGTCTATAGGTGATATTAATTTCAAAAGACTTGGCGTCATATCGGTTCCCGATGTAAAGAAATTGACAATAACAGACGATGATAAGTAAGTTTTATATTTCTTAAATTTGAAAAAAACGACATTAGCCGTTGGTTTTGTACTCGTGAACGTGAGAGATGTGTGTCGCATCAAAGGAGATGTCGTCAATAAGTTATGCATATGGTACTGGGCTGGAAATCCTTAAATGTGATTTCCTTCCACTTCTGATATAGATTCTGGCAACTTCTTGCCATTCGTTTCTGGGAGAAGAAGCTGGCAAGCTGCAGCTGCTAATATGGCTAAGATACAGAATGGAATAACCATTGTTAGTTTTCCATATGTATCCACCTGTAAGAATTTTTTGATTGAAATGCATCTGGATATATATTTCTTACCAGCCACAGTGCTACACATGAAGATGTGATGGCACCAATTCGAGCAACAGTTGAGCAACATCCAACTGCTGTATTTCTTAGAATCGTGGGGAAAAGCTCAGTGGTATAAGTGTACATCACTGTGTAAGCTACAGTGATCGCTCCTTTTGCAATCATGGTTTGCATCACTGCAGCATAAGTGGGAACTGTAATTTCGTTGGGTATTATGTTTTGGAAAAAACTATCGTACTGCTGTCTCCGACGATCCAATTTACTATTAGGCAAAGTCCGGCGGTCAAAAGTCCCATTGATACTAATGGCTTACGTCCTACTTTATCAATTAAGCAATACACCAAGATCATCGATGGTATCTCCATCAGTCCACTTAGAGCAAAGTTGACATAGAGATTGCCACCTCCAATGTCACTTTTCATCGTAAGTCCATAGTACATCATGGTGGAAACTGGCCTAAATCGCCATCGTCAGCTCGTTACCCATATAGGTTTTGCATACCATATGAAGAAACAGGTTAGGGTTCGTTTGCGCATTTCACGTGTTCTTAATAAATCCAAGGTGCTGAAACTATTGGAAGTTTTGTTTGCTGCACATGATTCCATTTTGCGCCACCTAAGAACGGAATGTGTTGTACGTGAAAAAATTCAAGTGGTTTTACCAGTTTTCCGGTATGTGTGAACCATTCATCTTCGCTGCCTTGTTCAGTATACGGTCAGCTTCTTGGAATCTGTTCTCTGAGATCAACCATCGGGCGCTTTCCGGAATCAACCTGAACGGCTCATTTGAGGCCTCTCTTCAACGTATATTTTCTTACCACCAGTAGCTCAAGAATAGGATAGATGGAAGGGAGATGATCAAATGCAATAGACGATAGTCATGAATAAGATAAGCCAAGCCGGCCAGAATAATCTGGATTTATGTTGTTCAGATCACGCACACATTTTAGAAACCTTACCTCGCCAAACGCATAGAATGACCCGGCTGCTACAGAACCTAGAGCTCTATAGCGTCTTCCTACCAGTTCGGTACCTAGCACGACGGCTACTCCGAATATCCCTGGTTGAGAGAAGCCAGTACCTGCTCTAAAAACGGAGAATTTTATCTTCGCATTCGGATATATTCGCTTACTTCAATATAGCGAACAGCCACCAGTTTGGAGCGACACAAAGCAGAAGCCCACAAAGCGATTGTATAACAATGGCAATGTAAAATACTTTCTTCCGTCCAATTCTTAATTAGTTATGATGTACTTCAGTTTCCTTTTATAAGGCAATACTTGTCGCCCATTACTCCACAGAAGTAGGAGCCTGTCATTTGACCGATGTAGTATAGAGATTGGACGGTAGCCTTCATCCACGAATTTTTGCCATTCATGTCTTGCTGTAAACTGATTCATCAGAACATGCTAGTGCTTTGTCTCATACCTTGAACCCTATGGAGAAGTTAGTGTCATCTTCTGTGGTATTGGTTGAATTTTGAATTGAGCTGAAGATGTATGAGTTTTCGAGTGAGCATCAGCTTGAGCCAACCTTTCTTGTATTTCAAGAGAGACAAATGTCCAGCTCATAACGTGCATGGCTACAGTGATAGTGGGGATACATAACAGAAGGAACTGCACTAGCTGATACCTACAGTTACATCATTAGGATAACTTCATCAAAAAGCTAGAGCACTTACTTTCCGAAGCTATGAACATAATATTCTAGAATATCGTCAAAGTTATCCAAGTGATCATCGGAATCGATTGAAGGAGTACGCTTTGGTTTTGAACTGAGGTCATCACCAGAAGGATTGATAGAGGACGGTAATTCGTCTAAATTTTTGATAGATAGTGCAGGAGGAAGCTGATAGACCATCGCACAAGGCAGGTCTCAAATGACGATAGGGTTCTGTAACAGACTTTATGTCGAAAGGTGAAAGGCGGGACGCTTTTATCCGTTACTCTCGTTCTCGCCCACTTTCTACAGACAGAAGCCTGTTTTTATTTCACGAGTGTCATCATAAGACCAATACAGACATCATATCTGATAGTAGTGTTTTGATGATTTCATTGAAGATCATGAATTTAAGATCAAGGAAACATAACTCTGTCATTCTCAAACCTGCAAACATTCTTTGTTAGGTGCAAAAAAGGTTTTTCTAGTTTAGGCTCCTAGTAATTGCTTGTGACGGTTTGTGGAAAGTTTTCCCAAATGACGATGTACCACGCTTCATAGAGTTGCAGTTGAATAAGGAAAGAAGTGTATGTTTTCTCTCTCTCTCAACACTCACGAACTATTCTTTGCCGTCCTTATAGATTTCTGATGTCACTACTGTAGACCAGGAGACCTTCGAAGGACTTGCGGCAAAACTTGCGAGTGAAGCGGTCCGAAGACAATGTGGCGACAACGTATCTGTTATCCTTGTCAAATTGACAAAGTTTTCTGAATAAATCTTTGAGAACTCTGCTCTGAGAAACTTGATTTGTTTAAAATTATTTTCTTGAAATAGATAGTACTTTCCTATACGTTAATCCATACGTCATTTGATATATTTTCTTTCCGATTGAAATTTCTTGTTTAGCCTTCTATTACAATTCTACTCAAGTACAACACAAAGATCGACTAACATTCTTCGTTCACATTGTCGTTGAGTAGACTTTCGAATTGGCTGATGGTCTGTAACTTTGAAAGGTTGAAGGTATTTCGAACTGTAAACTATAGTTTTGCAGCTCAACAATTTCATTCTTCTTACAAATACAGTTACAACCAAGTTGTTTACCTGGGCAATACATGTTTTCTCTTAATTATACAATTTTAGATAAATATTTTGGTAACTAACTGATTTGGAGTTAGATATCTGTCAAATGCATTAGCTTGTTCAATTACTCTCATCAACAGACTTACTTTCGCGCCCGGTACATTCGGGTACATCGGGTGCGTTCCTGGGTCATTTTTTTGTGGAACGTTGATAAACTATTCTCCCAGGCACCGCGTATTATGATCTTCAATTATATGACGTCAATTTGGTGAACTTGGCAATGGATCTCCAAACCAGGTTTGCATCCGTTACACTGAAGGACACGTGGTAGCTTTACATCATCTTCGCTTGTGACCATACCGTTTACCAGACAGACAGCTCCTATGACTAATAACGTATTGATGATAATCATCATATCAATAATCGGTTTCTGAGAAAGGAACGTAAAATGTCCCAGATTCATAATCTGTACTTGAATCTCATATTTCAATGTTTCAACGGATGGCTTTTCAAAATAATCACGTGCGGCCAAAGTGGAAAATATTTTCTACTTTGTCAACTTTTCATCAAATCAATTTAACTTTTAAAACGTTTTCTTTGTCTGCTAATTGTTCGCCTTCAGGTGATTCACGGCAATTTCCACGTCAACTTCCATGCGGCTTTTATGCTGATTTTTGAAAACAGCAGTTTCATTTTTAGTTGTGAAGGCATGTAGAGCGGTTGCACGCATGGCGAGTAGTCTACATTAGGTAAAGTGTACAGGACAGATATGAAAACTATTGTTTTTAGTTGTTCATTAGCTCAAAGGTTGTTTGTTACAAACAATTCACAACAGAATAGTGCTTCAATGTTTTAATGTTGACATAGCTTTTCACATTTCAAGTTCAAAACAGCCGTGTTCGTTTGTTTTTTGACCTGGGGGAATTTGTTATTAAAAATGTTCACACTTTTTAGAAATTTTGCAGAAGCACGTTCAAGCTCACTTACTCTAGGTGGGTTGGAAAACAGGCTTGGCAGAAGAACATCTCATAATAATTAGGTTTTATTGATAAACACCAATGATCATTCAATATACAGAACTATACTACAGAAACCGTTATTCACTGGTATTTCAATTGATTTTCTTCTTAGATTTCAATTCAGACACTACGAACGATTGGAAAATGAAAAATTGAGCAGCAAAGTACGAGTTGAGGATCAAACATTCGGCATAAGGGATTTTGAAACCGGTGTGATGGAAGATCAATAGACTGTCGGAGATAAAGAAGAGGAAGAAACCGAGAGCACGTTTGGATACAGCCTGAAGAAGTCTAAATATTTAAACAAGAGAAGGTAACTTCTTACCGAGTCGAATGTAGTTGTAGGTCTGTTCAGATGCTGTGAAACAGCCAAACATACATTAAACATGAGCAGTATTGAATATATGGAAAGGATGAAAACAGGAATTGGATGTTGAGAGAGCATTGGAACAAGCGTGGCATAACTTGCGAATCCTCCCCAAATGGTCATTATGAGAGCAAAGGGCACATTGATTTGGAAGTTTTTGTAGAAACACAACTGAAATTCTGGGTTATTGAAGATGCTTTCAGTTGGACAACGAACGAGGTAGAAAATGTGACCAATGCCAAAGGCAATAGCCCCAGTGACTATGCCATCTTCGCTTAATCCAATTAGGTAGTCGCCAATCGCACCGAACAGCAGTCCAGCTGAAAGAGAAATTCTGAGAATACTAAGTTAAGCGTAATTCTCACCTGCAACTTTGATGAAAGTGGCGTTTCCGGCTATACGACTATAAACAGCAGAGACAATTGAGAGGAACAAAACAGGAGTTGTCTTCCTAATTGGGAATGTTTACAGGTGTTAGCCAGCTTGAATCATTACCACAAAGAATAAGAGGGTGTGTAGAACTTGATATAGCCTCCGGATTCGAAATAGAAGTTCAAGACTAAGGCAGAGTAGATTAAACCGACTCCAACAACGGCAGCGGACATATCAACTGAAAATAAGGAAAAAATTGGTAGGAAACGATTTCAGAAATATGCAGTAGAAGAAGTGGCGCAGAATTCGAACATGAAGTTTATTAAAAAAAAGAGTAACTCGAGCGGTTTCTCGAGAGGCGGAGCAGCACGTGCTTCGTCTGAATGCACAAACTGTGTGCTTGCAACGATTGAAGCCGATTGCAGTCGAAGGCTGTTTTTGGCAATTCACCTAGGGAGGGAGCAAGAATCGATTAATTTATGATATTATAGTCTTTGGGGTATCAGGGAATTGTAGATAAAGCATCAACAAGTCTCTAGTTTAATCAATAACGTGGAAGATCGAGATGGTAGCATGGAAATGGCATGAAGCTCATTCACCTGTGGTTGAGTTGAAGCTATTGGATGGGAACGGCGGAGTTATTTGAGAGAATAAATAGTGGAATAGATATCGGCTACACTCCGTATCAGATAAGAACGAGAGCAGAACCTAGAAAGAACGATTTGTAGTCTACGAATAGGATGATTTGTTCTTTTTCTTGTGAAAAACAAGCTCCTACACAATAAATAATTAGAATCGTACCTGAATTAACAACGCCCTTCACTTGCTTTTCATACAATTCGAGACGTTTCAAACCAGTCAAAACACTATTGAAATTGCTTTTCATATCGAAGTCAAGTTCTGTTAGTTTCAACCCATAGAACTGAATGATCAATTAAGGTAACTTCTTTAGAAGGTCAACAAACTTTGTGCATAAAAGTTATAGGATCGCAGGTCTCATCTGTTCTCAGCTCAACAACGACTTCAGGATTCTCTCTCCAAGTCTTCAAAATGATTTCTTCCTTTGAACGATCAAATAGGAACTTACTTGAAAACTCATACTCAGCGAAGATATCTTTAAATCACAGGATTTGCCTCTTGAAAGCATGATAGAAGCTGATGAGAATTGTAGAAGAGCATCCCGGAACTGACTCCATGATTGAAGTCCGAGAAGTACTTCGACAGGAGATTTGCAGTTAAAGCTCGACGCTAAACAAATCAATTTTTCAACATTTTGATTTCTCCAAACCGTCAGGAGGAAAATCCGTCGATAACCATATGAAGTAAACAGATTTTAAGTCGGTAAGAGCGCAGAGATTGTTCAACGTTCTACTATCATCTAGATTCGAAGCCAGAAAGATGAGCTGTGTTGAATTGGACGGTGAAACATGGGGAAGCATAGGCTGTATACGTTGGATACGAAAACAAATTGAGGAAGATACTCACTTGGATTTGCTTTGTTTTCGAAATATATTTAGTTGGTAATATCCTCTTTTCGAAAACATTGAACGTCTGTTGAGCAATTATTTTAGCTGAAGAGAAGTGAGTCCTGTAGATGGTCCTTCCCAGATTGCTCATGTCCTCTATCTCCTTTTTATCCAAGCTGTTTATCATTTTGCTCAAACTGCTCAGAGTCATTGGCAGTAACGCTATCCTTAACTCAGAATTTCAGTACTACAAGATGATCTAATTTACTTCTGCCAATCAATCAGTTCAGTGAATGGAAGTACATGTTGAGGCAAATGAATGATCGGAATTGTTCCTGAGCTCAATGATATTGAGAGAAGAGCTTCCAGGTACGGGAAGCTCTCGGATATCAAAACGAACACACTTTGCTGAAAGAACAGTTTGGATGAAAACTTGAGGTATGATTCTTGAACCTCTACATGCTCTATGAGATTTTCCCTTTGTAATTGATCTTTATGATTGCAGACTGTTAGCAGAGACGGAGGGGAGCATGAGAATATGGCTTGGGCATTCTTCAAGGAAAAGCTTGAAAGATTGTAAAACGTGGACTAAACCTGAATTGAATCAAATTGGAGTGGCTCGTACTGATTAGCACTTGTCGGTATCAATAAATTAATTTTCCTATAATAATTGCTTTGAGAGCTCAATCCTGATGGTAATAGGAACGGAATTGATATATCAAACTGGGGTCTATATAAGGACTTGGGCAATAAAGAGCCGGCAATCAGAGGTTGCACTGGTTCCGATAATCCTAGGAAGTTGAAAATAACAGCATTTTGATATCTGAAAGAGTTTCATTGGTGAGTGATGACTGGACTCCTCAACTTTTGCCTATACAATGACATCACATTGTTCCAGACTACGGTGGAAAACCTATTTAAGTTCAGGAAGTCAACTCCGGGTACAACAAAGCAAGCATCCTCCAATCGTTGCACCTGATAAGAAGCGAGAGCTTCTCTGATTTCCAAAAACTCTCGAGAGGGAGTAGGAGAGATAACTACACCCTGTATCAAGAACAACTCAGACCTGTGAGAATAAGACTAATTTACCTCTCGTTCAACTTCAGTCAGAGGCTCAATGAACACATTGAGATTATCATAGTTCAATATACAACGTTGAAGATCGAAGCAGGAAGGTAAGCTACAGTTCCTATGAGTACTTGAAACAAAAAATAAGAGCTTCACTGCAAGTTTGAAGAAACCTTTCTTCAGCGAGGACTTCTTTGTATTCAAGGATGTTTGGGGTAGGACACCATTCATAGTTATGCCAAATAAGTAGAAGTACTATGAAGGAACAGATGATGTATACTACATTTCTCATGCCTGAACAGCCGAAGTTGCAGTCTTTCAATGCTTCAGATGATATAAAGGTAACACTCGAGTTCAATCATAACTCTTTCATTTCGTCTCTACTTGAATTTACATAAATTTCATTGATTTTTACTAATTATATAAACTATGGGACCGGTACAAATTCGCAAAACCATGTTTGCTTTCGAACGATGAAAATTGCAACTCTATCTAGGTCTAAATCACAATACTTCTTAGTTTCCTTGGAGCACTTGTTGGCGGAATTTCTCGGCACACTCTTCATACTGTTGCACAAGGGAGGAGCACTTCAATATGCGTCCAGGGTTGTTCTGCAAACATGCTGCTATTTCCTTAAAAGAGATAAGTGTGAAGACGAAATGAAAATCAGAGCCAACCTTCTCATTCTGTTCGCAAGCATTTTCTCTTTGTAAGCTGAAGAATTGCTTCTCCACACGGTCTACGGTTTCTTCGAAAATTTTCTTCCTATTCTCCAAGTCAGAGGCAAGATTAGCAGACAACGCAGAAACATCGTTTCCATTTGCCTTAATCAAATTCATTAGAAAAGCAAGACTCTTATCACTTACTAGTTTTTGTTGGATAACGGTTAATCTGGCCATCTCATCTCGCAGTCTATTTTTCTCGTCCTTCTCTTTAGCTAACTCGGCTCTGAAACCTTTTCGCATGTGCAACAAATATTATTATCGCTCACTTCAGCTTCTCTGAGCCAGTGTCTGGGTTTTGAGCATTTACTCGTCTAACAACATCAGATGAGACTCCGACGGTTCTGAAATTCAAGACATTTACGTAAAGAATGAGAATCGATAATATATATATGATAACCACGAACTCATATGTAACTGCATCTATGCTAATTAGCATAGACGCGTTTTTCACGCGTAGAAAACTCATTTGAATTGAAAATATGATGAGAGCGGTTGCTTTCGAGCGTCCTTCATTCAAATCAAAATAATAAACACTAATATTCAGGTGGGACGCGAAAGAAAGCAACCAAACTCGATGAAAAGAGATCGAAATGAAACACACTTACGTGAAAAGGTAAATGACTTACTTGTACTCTTCCGGTATTTCACTACGTTCAATTCTAACCACGTCCGGCTTTTCCTGGCTCTGAGTTGACCCCATACCCTATAAACATGGTGTATTATTAGTTGTTGATGTGATAGGTTAAGCTTAATGTTTCAAATTCAGCTGGGTTTAAAACTGGGAGCTCTTTTCCCTTGCCCGCGAGCGTTTATGAAGACTACGCGGACATTAGCGATGGAGCGCATGCCTTATCACACTAAAGTTGGTGGCGCAAGTTAAGGTTTACTAAGACTTTTTAGACTTTTTATAATACTGAGTAGAGTCATCTTGAATTTTGTATATTAATTATGCGAATGAGGAGGAGTGATTGTGACAGTTAGAGATTTACAAAAGATTGTATAGTGTCTTTCGCTTTGTACACATCACAATGTTGCAATCAATAAGCAACTTTATTTCGTTCATCATATTGTTCATTATCTATTGTATTGAGATGGCTATAGCTCAATGAGAAAGTTTCTCAAGAAAATGATTGAATCATGATTGTATTCTGAGAGCAGAAGAAGTTCAATCGTTTCTTCTGATCTTCATATAATTGCCCGTCATATCTGACATTAACCTTCTAACAATTATCTTTTCAATTTATAAAGTTAATCGTTGTTAAACTCACTCGAGTAATTGATTCATAACATTCTCAATAATTTCTTGTTTGCAGTTAGGAATGAGGAATGGTGGAGTAACTGGGTCTGAAACCACATTAGAGCATAGAAATCATGGCTATTGTGAGGCAACAACGTCGAAGGATGATGAAACTAATGAAATGGATACTATGAAAACAATTTTAAGGTATTTCTTGTTAAAGCAATTAGAATATGGAAGAGTGTAGAGAGGAGATTGATTATCTATTTATTATTATTATTACTATGATCTTGATTATGAAGTAAGTGAGGAAGGAATGAACAGCTTAGCTGCATGGGCAAGCGTTTGAGATGGAATGAGAGCAATCTGGGTTTGATACTTTATCAATAAGCCGTGTTGCCTTGGCAACCAAGCCCGCCTCTTTTATGGCAACTTTAGAAGCTTCAGCAGTAGATAACATGCTTTTCGGAATTTCGTTCATCAAAATAAGATAATGGGGGAAGAAGATTGAAGTAGGTGCGTAATATTTAGTTAGTTTTCATTTTAACTCGTTTCTGTTTGATGCAAGGTTAGAGAAGTTGGTTCATTAGGGACTATTATTTTGAATAGATAGATAGGTTCATTCGTAGGCGAAACAGAAGTTTGAGTAGAAACCATTACGTCGTTCTTTTCTCGATCTGTATCCATATGCTTCGTTCTCCGTGTGTGTATCGCCTTAACTATATGTCTAATATATATTTATATATATGAAATTATTAGAATTTGGAACTATGTTTAGAAAATAGATTTTAGCACTCTTTAAGTTCAAGTTTATAGCTTATATTTCAGCGGCAAAAGCAATTGTCAACTTCGGGCTCCTCGCTTAGCAACTGCCTTAGAAACGTTATGGAAAATAAAGATGAATAGTATGACTTCCGGAAAAAAAGATGGGAGGTATGTCTGTTTCATTTTTAATGCCTTGATTCTCAAAATTTTATGCAAAATTTGAGTAGAAGGTATGCCATTGCCATTGTATGGAACATAACATTATGTTTTTCAAATCGTTAGATGGAATTGGAATAGCGGGCCATTCATTGATGTTTCGCTTAGAAAATATAATTGAAACAAGTTATCGTTTAATATCACCGAAGTTTTGGAGAATGTGAGATATTAATCGAGCAAGAGAGACTACGTGAGGTATGGAGAGTGATCGAAACATCGAAGGATTTCATTAAATTGGACTTCATAAATATGAGCCCCCGACTTTCACGTAACAAGATCAAAATTTGAAAAGAAATATTTTAATGTCTCGAAATACTTACCGATGCAATGAGCATTCCTTGCATGCAGTTGTTAATGAAAAACGTTGGTTGAAAGAGAAGGGCAGGTGCCGTCTTCGTCTATAATCTTATGCAGGTGAACGTAATTGGGATGTTAGACTATATAAGCATTCATTGCTGGTCATCCGTAATAGGGCTAAACATGAAACAAAGAAAATGAGAAGTCAACAGACTACATAACTGAAATGTTTCAGCAATGTTTCGATAAGTGAAAAAGTTCCGATGAAGAAAATTAAAATGGAAGATGAATCGGACCCTACTAATTATCACAATAGGGATATGATTTTGGATTTGAAGAAAACGCATCGTTATATTAAGAAAGAGTGTATTGAGAAGACGAATCAGGTAATCAAGCATGAGTTGAAACTTGGACTGAAACATATTTTACAGCCTGGACCTTCCGGACTGCATTTGCTCGCAGAAAAACTCAAGAAAGGTTAGCCTTTTTCTCAAAACTTTCTCATTTCGTTTGATAATTTGGTTATATATATATATTTACGTGAAGTCAAATCCCAATTTGGACTGTGAATGAGAACATGAGGCATCCGATTGTAATTTTAGTCAACATACATTAACTACGGTAGATGGATAGGCTCTGCGCGTGCTAGAAAAAAAGATGGGCAGGTAAAAGAGACGAATGGGAATCATAACTGAAAAGCTCCAAATGAGGGGAACATTAGCGAATGCAGGTGCACATAAAGAAAGGAGGGCTAAAGTATGGTAGCAGTATGATGATGAGTTGAAATGCAGAGAGACTAGACAGTAATTGAAAAAGAAAAACTTGACGAGTCATCTCGACAGACGTTCTTCCTCATAAATTCTGCTTCTCTTCATGACTTTTTGTATACGAAAGTATTGAAAATTTATGCTGAACCACAGTCTCCGTAGGCGGTTTCTTTACCTATTCGAAGAGGCTTTTTTGTGTAACCTTTTGGGTGGCCATTTTCATCAGGGTGAATACTAAAGCTTCATAACTAAGTGCCATACTCTGGCCGTCATTGTATTTTACGAATATCCGCTAGCTTAATCTTTCCCTTATTCTTACTGCCATGGATGTATACGGAGTGTTTTATACTGGTGCTTATCAGCCCCAGACAACAGGTTAGTGCTCATCTAGCTATCAGAACGGTTGCATTCCAAACAAGGTTATGTCTGTCGTGCTTTGTATATCTCGGGAGATTAGTTCTTTGATATTATTATAAAGCTGAATGTTAGGAAAATAGAAGTATTAGTAGATTAGAATAGACTATCTTTCTTTATTCCGGGCCTTGCTTTCATTCACATTATCAGGATGATTTCATCTTTCATGGTTATGTCGACCCTAAGTTAAATAGGCCGATAGTTCGAGCAGCGATCAGCTGTCCCAGCTGCTGCCACAACGGCCGGCCTACCTTGAGCCACCCCTCCAGTCAGTTCTCGTTTCCTTTGGCCCAGAGCGACCACAAATGAAGACTGAAATTAAAACGGAAAGTCTCATTTTTGAGCAGACCATGCCGTCGCATGGTTTCAGCTTATTGTTGCCTATAACCACATCCAGTGTTTCATCACATTCTTTCATTTCATTTGGTATGTTTTTTTTCTTTTTTCCCTGTCCCTCTAGAACAATGATTTCAAAAGTGAATGACTGCTGGCTGCACAGTTCGAAATCAACAAGTATCATTGAGTCAAAGATTGAATATCTTTTCTCATTTTTTGGATGTGACCTTTAGTAGGGGAGCTCTGTAATCCACAACGTTAATTAGTCCGGTCACTTGCTCAGTCAGAATTGTAATAAGTGCCACTAAATTTATGTACATAGATGGTGCGTAGGCTGTTTCTTAACTAAACGTTTGACGAGTTTAGAAGACAATACGTAGTCTGTGCATAATGCATGAAGTGGACAGAACAACCTGAGCAGACCGGAGGTTTCAAAGTGAGAAAGAAAGCGGAAATATGAGGCAACTAAAGAGAGAACGTGTAGAAGGTTATTAGAGATGAGCTCAAAGGTTTCGTATAATGCTTTAGGCTATTAAAGACTAAATCTTTGTCAATCGCTTAACCTGCTCGTTAGCTGACAACAAAGAATGGGACGAAGCTATTGTATAAGCAATGAACATAGATGACGAGAGAGTTTCAACTTCATTCTATTCACCAGCGCAAGAAAAATCACGAGCGACTCGTATAGCTGTATTTCATTCCATTCCTTATCCAAAACCATTTCCGTAACTTTGGAAAAATAACAAACTTCGTCAGTTGCATGCTTTCACTGTGGTTTACCAAGCAAGAGTGATAGCACCTGCCGAATGTATCAGATACGTTTTGAATTTGACTACGCTTGGCATACCATATTAGGAAATGTTCAATGTATTTGACTATAGCAGCGCCATGCGCCAAGCGACTGTTGTTCGCAATCAACTCTGTAAGTTTGCAGTTTACATTTAGTGACTTCAATGTGTTTGGGGGGCAAGTTATGATAAGAGGGAATATCTCTTGCACATTCCGTTAGCCATAACCTTCGACAAAGTAGCGAAGAAAGAAAATTATATGATTTGCTGTGTGAAGACATGATTAAATAGAAGACCAATAAATAGATAGGCTTTGAATTTCTCTCCTATTCATGTCTTCGTTCAAATTGGTGTCTTGAAGTAGTTGTATCAGTGATAATCATGCAGACAAGCAGCTTGATATTGAGCGAAAGCCTCGGCGCCTGGCAAGCAAATTGGCATACCTCCATTTCTGGTCCTCTCCATCTTTTCCGCTATCTCTTATCATATTTCATCTCTAACATTCTTTTTCTTTTCCTCTCATGCACGATGGCAATAACTAATATATCTATACCACATTGCATATTCTATAACTTCTAAGCTCAAGACAAGCATCAGGCTAAAATTCGGTTTCAATCAATACAGTTTATTAAAAGTTAATTCGTTTATTTTTAAATTTCATTATTCTTTCCTCTCACTTTGTTATTTTGGACTAACTGACTTCAAATGTCACATTCATCATTAAGGTTTAAGTTCTATGCCAGTCTTAAGGTGCTGTGTGCAATCAACGTATGGGGCACTAGTCGTAGTTATAGTAGTGCAATAGAGATATAGTCCCTCCCTCCCTCCTTCTCCCCCCTGCTTCGAATTCTTTGATAATTTCAAAAATTATTTGTTTTGGAGAAACAAATCTGTCACTCGTTTCATTTATGGCCACATAAGCTAATAACACTATACATTTTCTGCATCTTAATCAAAGGATACACATTCAAAGGCACATGATACCTTTGAACGAAAATCCTGTCGGTCCGACTTACGATGGAAAAGGAACATTTTTGTTTTTCCGGCATCGAATGCTAGAAAATCAAAGTTATTGTTTGTTTGATTAATCTGTTTCTCATAGATTTTCTTAACATTTTATTCCTTTTTTTATCACACAATATCATGTTTTGGACCAATTTGACAGATATTGTTCGGGCAGACAGATATCCGACTCGTACCGAACACCACGTCGTCTCTCCTTCATTGTTTTCTTCTCTGTTTTTCTTGTGGCTTTAACTGATCGGAAACAGAGTAATATGAGAGTAGCTACGATTATATAACAGACATGTTAGCTGCTCTGATTAAGGATAACCGCTCTGTCTGCTCTTATGTATGTTAGATGCTCTTCTATGCAGCTATTTTTCCATCGGCTCATGCTCACCCCTATTATTTCCGGGTCAGGGCGGCATAGACATCATTCAATCTTCCATGTTGCGACACCTGTTAGCTTTTTATCGCTATACCCCTTATAAAGGTTAACCGCCCATGAAAGCAATGAAAACATTAAAAAGACAAGGAGTTCTTTCTCTCTCGCTGACAATAAGGTCCATCATGGTCTTCTCTCTCTCTCTGTCAGCAGGACGGTTTATTATTGTTAAAAGTCTATTGTAGAAGGCAACAAAACAGAAAAATGCTTTTCGGCTCTCATTAAATTCACCTCATGCTTCGAATCATTACAGTGAAAAGACTGATTTGCTTTAAAAACAAGCTGAGCAGTTAAGTAAAAAAAAATACCGCAAGAAAAACAAGTCGTTTTGTACAAATTTAATTCAAGCTTTATTCTGGCAGAAGTACGTTTTGCGACTGTTCTCACATGATTTCTCCCTCCTCGCAATGTCATATCCTTACTTGAACGGCTTCATAGAGTTCTAACTAAGCTGACGACTCTCATATCAAACGTAATCGGCTATGAGTAGCGAGATAGGTTAGCGATATGATTACATTTCTTTATAAATGTTACTGTTAGCAACTACTAGTGAGGTACTATAGACCTCATTCCTATCACTACTGCTTGGGTAATTAACACAGCTAACATAGTTTATGCTAATTTTCTTTTGAATTCAAATCATACTCACAATGACTGCGTGTGTTAAGCTAATTAGCATAATCAAGTTAGAGCCACGTAGCGTAGCGCGTCTATGATTCTGTTAACAATCATTTTGAGTTTGAACTGCGGCACTAAGCGGTTGTACTCAACGTCCGATTCAAGATGAAACGAAAGTGTCCAATTTCGAAAATCAAGTAATTTTTCACATATTTTTATCAATTCTATCGCTCGAAAATGCAGCTTTTTCAAATAACTTTTTTCCGCTTTTGGTCGAAATTGCAGTGCTTCCATTCTTTTTCGAAGTAATGAAGCGTTTTACGGTTTAAAAATGAATTGTTTTTTTATATATCAAACAGAACCATACGTAGGTATCAGTTAAGTGTCCCCAATTGAGTTGACTGACTATCCCGGCTAGTTAGAGCATTTTCAAGATAATCATTTGCTAGACAAAAAGAAATGTTTTGTTCTCTCCCCAATATGCTTCTTCTCTTACATGATATCATACATTTCAGGCGGAGACCCCTCAGATCTATTGGATTCCTCTACTTCCAGCTACAATAACGGAGTACATCAATACGTTAGTGATTTTGGAAGTATGGAATATTCACTTCAACAGCCTTCACACCTAACAAATAAGTGAGTTTAGTTTTTCTCATTTACGAAAGTTGCTTTTTCACATTTTTGCATTAAATGGCTATAGAGATTGGGGGATTAAAGGAAATTGATGTGAGAGAGAGAGTTTCTGTCATTAGACTTGTGTCTGATATATCCTGTATATCAGTAAGCTATTCTATTGCAAGGGAAAGAGAAAGAGAGAGAGAGAGAGTGAGAGAGCATGAAGTAGGCAGTTTTTCTTTTCAGTTTTATGAGAGCTTGCGCTCAATGAGAGTTTCTGAAAGTTATGATAGTGATTGTCGCAGTAACACTCGAGATATTGAATATTCTAATAAGTCGACTCTCTTTTCATGGTTACAGTATGGCTGAAGTTCTTAACAGCAATTTCAATGCGCAAAGTTTGAAGCTCAGGGCTTAGATCTCGAGAAAAAAAAGTTCAATTAGCCTTTTCAAAACACTTAGTTCAAGATATTGTACGGGGTGGTATAGGTGAAAGCTGATTACTCGAACTGGATAACGGGAAATGTATGAAAGTGGTGAAAGGGAGGGGGAGTGGGTTAGTCAAGAGCTATGAAATGTTGAATATGGACAAAACACAAAGGATAATGTAAAATAAAAATGTGATAAGAATCTTATGGACGGCATTGGAACTAAGTAGTGCTAACCAATTCCTCTGCTTGGCCGTCATCAATGCGTGACTGGAATTCAAGCGTCCTTGTATGGTTGATAACGGAGACGGTTGCCTGGTGAAGTGGGAGGCCGGACCGGGGGTCGCCTAGGCGATTCACGAGTTCCGCTCCCTTCTTTTCCTAACTAAAAGAGAGAGGAAAAGAAAAGAGAGGAAGAGAGATTCAAGATATGTATACACAAACCTTATTTGGTATCCAAGAGAATAAGAGTGAAAAGATAGAAGGAAAGATATAAAGAGAGAAAGAGTAAAAGGAAAGCAGGCAAGAAGGAGCAAGATGGAGTCAGGGCCGTCTCCATAGCTCCCGTACGTCTTAGCTAGCCAACACACACACTTTGCTCAACCACTTTGAGTAGAAGTAGTTACTGGTGAATTTTTGAATTATTTTCATATATCTTGACCTGCCAAAAGGAAGATTGTGTACTGATCTTTCCGTTTTTTGTATTTTGGTTATCTCGTTGCTCCATTGCCGCTTTCGTCACCTAAATGCATTTGTATTTCTAACATAACTCATTTGGCAATAAGAAGGTGGATATACGTTCGGAAATGAATTCAGATTTTCATTTAAATTTTAATAACGCGCGATCAGAGTAGCTATATTGGAATGTTCGGCTTCGCACTTTCTCTTATTGTATTTACAATTATTCATAACTTCCTCAATCAATTCAAATACGATTTGCAACCTTTTTATGAATCTTAGTTGGTTCAATAAGGTTGTTTCATGATATTTGAGTGATGCCAATAGATTTGAACATAACGATTCTCTGAATGTCAGATGTGTATCGCAACAGGAACAGCTTTTCCTTTTGTGAATGACATCTCAACCTTTCGCATTAGTCGCTTGCTTCAAATCACTTTGATACTGATTACCAGCTACTATAACTGTTTGTTTGTCGCTTTTACAAGTTTTGGAATGTTTGATCATCCAATTTTGACAGATGTAAGCTATCTACTGTAAAGATATTCAGTTGAGGAACTAGAATATCTTGCTCGAAGATTTTTGAACCTATCAGTTCCTTACTATAGCTTACTACCGGAACGCTTGTGTGATAGCTTCAGCTGCGGTAGTATGTTGCTGATATGGAAACGTGGGAAGAGTTCTCATCTTTGTATGTCTGGCTCTGGTTTTCTGTTTTCAATCTACGCCAGGTAGATTGTCAGAGAACTCCCACTAAATATCTTCCATTTCCTCTATGTGCCTCACTCCCCCTCTTACTTCCCGCTGCCAGTTTCTCTTTCTTCATAATTCTCTCTGATGTACTCTCTTCTTGTTCTCGTCCCGCTGTTGGAAAGAATCGTCAAGACAGCTCCCAATAAGCCTTGGGCCTGAAAACCCCTCTAGCTCAGTCTCCAGCCTCTCGGACCTAATTACCGTATACCGGAAGGCGGGCAGGCGCCAGGTGCTAGCCGCTGGTCAGCAGCAGTCTCCCAACAGCCAACCTTACTTAGCCGGGTGCACTCTACAGACACTTACTCCACGTTCCTCTTGATATAGTCTCGTGTCCTTTAGCTGGCGTTAGAAGCAAACGCTTTCTAAGTCAAAATAATATTCCGGACAAATATAATCTAGTCGATAATCGTGTCAGGAACTAAGTCGTGTCTAACATTTCTATTCACCTATTCTCTTGCTATACTGAGCACTCACATATCAGCTACAAGAAAAGGCGATCAATTCATCCCTTAAAATCTCTCTAGTCATCTAATCATCTAAAAATGTATTCACCAACTCTATACCCACCGTCATCTGACTTGGATGATTGTTGGTCAAAATCAGACGATATGGTTCTTTTCAGTAATAACTCCTATGTTTATGCAAACGACAGCACAACTTACCAATATTATCAAGTGAGTTTCAGCTTTCTTTTCAATATTTTACTTTTTCAAATCGATCGAAAGTACTTCAATGATTTCCGGCGCTTTTTTTTTCGAAATTTCGTTTTTCGATATCCTTTTAAAGCACTTTTCTTTATCAAATATTCTTTTGGCTTTTCATCTGTTATACTAGCTTTCTCTCAGACTTTCCGATGAGGTCCGTGAAAGCTTCATTTTTTGGAAAATTATGATTGAAATTAGTTTGAAAGTTAATCTTTGATCATAACTAATGAGAACTTCTGATAGCGCGTTCATTCGGAGATTGCCCACACAATTCTTCCTCAAAAATTTTTAATGAAAACCCCATGATATCTCATTGATGACATCAATAATCTGTAAGATAGAATGGCTTCCTATACACTTACTTTCATCAATATATTGATATTTACATATTAATATATCTATATATCTATATACATATGAGCTTTATAGTATTCCGGAAATGTTCATTCGCCCAACCAACAGTATCTTGTTAGTGGAAATCATTCTCCAGGATCAGCTGATGATGAACACAACACTAGCATTCAACATGCTACAAGAGCATCTCCTGCAACGGTACGCCGCCTTTATTCATTTCAATTTTCCATTTTTGGAAGTAAGAGTCATGAATTTGGAAGATTGATTGAGGTTTCGTGAGGGAGAGAGAGAGAGTTCGAGCAAGTATGAATTAGACTTTTCTGCTGTCTTCCTCTAAAGAGCCAAGCTCTTAGGTCACAACAGATTTTAATAATTGCTGTGTGGAACACACGTCTAATGCTTCCGGATGTAAAGCACAATGAATTCTCGTTTTCTGGGTTCAACTTTCGTTTCCAAAATCCTTTCTACGTCGGCCATTATCAGAAATTGAGGTTTTGAGCTTGAGATCCGATTGAAACATCTGATTTTGAATAAGTATAAGGGTTTCTTATTGATATGTATAGTAAATGATTGTTATTTAAAGCTTTTCCCTCAATTTTCTCTCTGTTCATTCAGTTGGCATAACCAATTAGAGTTCTGATAGGTAGTAGTATATGGCGGAGAAAGTCGTTATCCCACCAACACCACCACATGTCTTTCGCATATTTCTTCAATAATTTGCAGTTATTGTCATTGAATATTACCTGATATATATTACCTTTATTATATAATGTAATATAGCATACTATGCAATTATTTTGGTGCATAGCTCACATGTAAGCTTGCAGTTGATTGAGAATGAGAGAAAAAATACTTTGTCGTTTGATATTTTGACGGCGATCTCACTCTGTGAAACTGAGAACGAAAACGAAGCAAAGAAAGATATATAGATAGAGAGAGAGGAAGGGAAAGTAAGAGAGAGAGAGAGGAAGTTCGGAGTTATCAGTTTCGTTCTCCTTCAACACCAATCTCTATAATTCTATTAAAATGTGGGAAAATAATTGTTGTTTCGCAAAAAAGACAGTTACGAGCAAATACCTTTCCCTCTCTCTCTGTCTTCCTTCCCTATCTCTCTCTCTCTCTCTTTCTCTCTCTTTCACTTTCCATATTTGGCAAAATAACTTGGAAAAGTCGAATACAAATCCGAAGACGATTTGGTGTGTTTTGGCGAGAAATGCAGTATTTTCGATATTTTTTGTCGTTAAAGAGCTTCAAAAATAATAATTGAAACTATTGGGATAACATTCAATTTATTTTTTAATTATGGAGAGGAGTGGGATATAGGTTGAAAGGGAGTTTGATCCGTAAATGTCAGGATACTCTCTCTCTCTATCTTCTATATGAGGTAAACGGGTCATTGCTCTCGTCGTTCTCGTTACGTCGGCAGGCTTGAATTGTTCTTTATCCTATTCTCTTCATTAGCAGCCGGAACAGAGCTTGTATGAGACAGCTGAATTCTATAAGTAAGCTGTAATTCTGCACACAAACCTCTCTTACAACTATAATTGTTGAGTAAAAGCGGTTATGGCCAATCATAAAGGTCACCTCACGAGAGCTACTCCCACCTATTATGGCTTTCCGAATTCAGATTTTGTGTGATTCCTGTTGTTGGTGAGCTTTGGATTAGATTTTTGGCTTCCTTTATTTTGAAGAGAAAGAAGCATGCATATAATCAGAATATTGCACGATTGAAGGGAGAAATCGAGATTATTTATTTTTGGTTTTTCAAATATCTGAGAAATTCGTGAGCCTTGCCGATAACCAAATCAAGCTTATACTAGCAGTCAGAGGCAATTACGGTTAATATTCTTGCACCTGTTCGGTTAAGGGCTCATTAGCTGTCGGGGGATCTTTCTTATAATAGCTGTAAATCAACTGTCGGATAATATTGCTCATCGGCTCACACACACATACACATGATGAGTCTACTTCTCCGTCGACGACGACTATATTCATGAAGATAAGCTCTAATCCGTATTGGGACGCGGTTCCATTCAAATATCCTATATATAGAGATAAGGGAGATAGATGAATGTTATTACTCTTGACGTAGTTTTATTAAAACGTAAATATGATTCTGTTTTGCTTTCTATGAATCTCATTCCTTACGGCTTGGCTTGATTAGTCAGTTTGTATGTGATTGAGAATTCAATTTCCGTTTAAGCTCATTGTTTGGGTAGCTTGAGATGTACTGCGGCTCCCAGCCCAAAATTATAATGAGCTAATTAGGTCGTGTACCTGCACATGGACATAAGATTGCAAGCGGCTAAGCCCGTTTTATGGTCAATTATTCTTTGATGATTTGAGGAGATCAGATGGCTCTGTCATTCAGATCCGTACAACAATTAAATGATTGTTTGGAAGATCTTAAAGCTTCCAATAAAGCTCTACCGACTCTGTTCCATCAACTTACCGCCAACTGTTACTCTTTCTTGCCACATGACGTCTGATTAGCATATTCGTTTGCGTCTCCCACGTAAAGCCATCATAATGCTGTTATTCTTGATGATGAATCGCATCACGATCGGTTGCTCACGCTTGTTCATTAAATTTTCTTGGTAGGCTTGGCGCGTTAATTGAAAAAAAGATTTTGCATTCGTCTATGCAAGGCTTCGGGGACGGAAAGAATTGTATTCATGGCGTTCGCTGCCTTCTTAAGGTCATAGAGTTGAATGATATTGAATGGATGGTGAATCTGCCGGACAGTCTCCTCCTTCATTATAATAAAGAGCACCTGAAGTCAAAACCGGAAAGAATAACAGCCGTTTATTGGAGGTAACAGCTATTGGCAGCCAATGAAAAGAGTCGTGACATGAATAAATAGCCATTAGTCAATTCAATTCTCGACATTATTCATTGTAGATTGAAGACGAGCAACAGGTGTTCACCAGACTTAATATGGTACTGAGTATAACTGTCTTCTTTCTTCTGCTGTCTTCGATTTGAATATACGTTTTCATTAGTCGGGGTTTCGTTCATAGAATGTATATGAAAGGGATGAGAGATCTTTCATAAAGATAGAGAGTTGATCATAATATCCCATGTGATCAGCAACTATGAGGTAGGGCGTCTTGAAACCATTCAAGCATGCCTGCTAATCTGTCTGCCATATGAAACATTGGCAGATTCTTACCTTAACGAGATAATTATGATTTAAGGTAATCATCTAGAATGAATATGAAGGTCCATTACTAGTCTTACAGCTCATGTTCAGTTGGATTCAATAAGACAGGTGTTTCTAAACATCAAAGCCTGGCTTATTACTAGATTAGAGGAGATTATGGTTGGATATCCCACAAGAAAATTGTCCCTTATATCAAAAACAGGAGGTCATATGACCTAATTATTAAAAGATTACGCTTGTCGACCGTGCTCAGACTTAGGCAGTTCATGGAAGACTCATGTGAGCACGGACGATTTTCTAAAACAAACGAGGAGAAAGTAGTTTTGGGTAAAAACAATCGATTACCGGATTTTAAGAATAGTGGAGGCTTGTCCTGTCTCGTTCCCTTACATCCGGTAGACACCTTAAGATTGAGTGAGTCATGCGGATTTATGAGAGGAAAAGAAAACCAAACATGGGTATGGATTCATAGTTGAAAGAGTTAGCGGTAGAGAGTTCCAACGAAAAGCCATAAAGAGTTGTTACCTTAGCAACGTAACAGACTTTACTCCAACTTACCTTCATTGGACTTCACAACCTCTACTTTAATTTCAAACTTTGAAATAATCCTTAGCTATCTGCCTTCCCAACATCATGAGTCCGATTATCTATTTGCTTCTGTTCTTCTCTTGATCATAAGAGAACTTTGTGACTTTCAACATTTTGTTCGAAAATGATGTTGGATAGTCTCATGAGAATAGATTCTCCTCCAGAAAATCGGCTCCACGTAAGCTTTTATGAATTCGCAAGGCTTTGTGTATGAGCATGATAGAAGTGTCTTTGATAACAGTCTCAGTGTTGTTTCTCATAATTTTGTTTTCAGATCCAATGGTTGCTAGATAACTACGAGCCTTCTGATGGAACCTCCTTACCAAGATGTACTCTCTACGATCATTACAAAAAGTATGTTCTAAATTTGATCAAGAAAAGTTCATAGCGAAATGATGATTTCGTCTTTGAAGCGTCGGTTGTCATGGCAACCTTCAGCTTCAAGTATATCTAACCTTCGAGCAATGCTATTGTTTCGTACTCAAATATTCATAGACACATATCCATACGGACATTAAGGTTTCAATAACTTTTCGTTTTACAGACATTGTATGGAGTACAAGCTTGATCCTGTAAATGCTGCTTCTTTCGGAAAGTTGATTCGCAATGTTTTTCAAAATTTGAGAACAAGGCGGTTGGGAACCAGGGGGAACTCCAAGTACCATTACTATGGAATTCGGTTAGTGCACTGCCATTCTTCGTATTTTCATAAATGTTCCTCCACAGAGTCAAACCCTCTTCCCTTTTGAATCGTCAAAGACTCCAACTGGAATACAATAGCGAAGAACCCTGTGCTCCTCCTAGACAGTAAGAGAATACTTCTCAAATTCCTTTAGTTTCTCTTTTCTTAGACATTCTCGTCCAGTGAAACGTTCTGCTGCTTCTCAACCATCAGTGAGTCCTCATTCTACGAGCAGGTAAAACGATAAAATTACAGACAAACAATTTACCAATCATTTCCAGTCCGGTTCCTAATCATCCCAATCCACTCATCTTAAATGATAATGCTATCATTGTTGGTGAGTGATAAATAGTTCCTCCAGTATCTAGACGATGGTTTTTCAGCCTCTGAAATGGATAAGCAATCTTTGGGTGTCGGAGAATTACCGAACATTGAGATCGATTTCCGGATAGAGCTCGAAGAGGAGATCCAGAAGCTTGGTCTTGAGCTTAGTCATGTTTGCAAGTTCATGGAAGCCTACAAATTGAACTGTTCTGTAAGCTTGATCTCTTTTGGTCATCAATTTCATTTCTACTGTTTGAAGGATATTCTGTATTGTGTGAGGAACATCGCTTTCGATAATGTCTCTCATTACTGGACAACATTTTGGCAAAGTGATGACACCTTCTGTAGTAGTGAACCGTACGTTACCAACTTCAGTCTATCACATTCTTGTTTGTGCTTCAGAAAATTGGACAAACTTACTCGCCAACAGATATTTTCACTTTGCACAGTGCCGTGCATCCAGTCGTTCATCATCAAAGTGGATTTGGCTTTATATCAAGTTATGGTTGATATCCTTATTCCTGATGTCTTGCTCTCAGAAATGACTTGTGAGTCATAATCTTCCGAATTAATTCTATTATCATATTCTAGCGCTTCTGATTCAAGCCTGTCGCAGTTTCGCTAAGAACGCCGAGTCATACTTGCGTAAAGCTATGCGTGGGGCTCCCGATGTTATCCAGAAGAAAAAAATTCAAGCCGTGAAGTATATGACCCAAGCTTTGCGGAGGTAAATTTCAAGTTTGAGAACTTCTCTGATCGAAACTGTTTAGGTATACATCATTGAATCACCTATCACAAGCAGCCCGCACTGTTCTTCATAAGCCTGATCAGGTTGCAGCCATGTATTCGGACTGCGTCAAGTAAAACATTTGCATTGATCTATTAAACCAATCGTATGTTTTAAGAGTTGATATTGCTCAAGTCCAAGAACAAGCTGGTTGGGTGTGTGGTTGTGACATAGTCATAATCAAACAAATCCATAACGGTTTCAAGGAGAACTTGCAAAAAATGGTTGGAATGAACCATTGGGCTGATTGGATGGACGCGATTGTAGAACAGGTAAGTCCTACCACAGCAGATCTCATTTTCATCGTATTGTATAGAACGTACCCGTATTAACTAACTATCACGGGAAGACTGTTCGGGAAGTGACGAAAATAGCCAAAAAGTTTTTGCTTCATTGGAGTCTATACACGTGAGTTCTGATTTCAAAGAGTTTCCTCTGAATGTTTCTTTTGCTCCAGATCCATGCTCATTCGCGATTTGACTTTGCGATCAGCGAACTCATTCGGATCATTTCATCTAATTCGATTATTATCGGATGAATACATGTTATACTTGATTGAATCGAAGTTGGGAAAAGCATTCAACAAGCCAACCATATCTGTGATGACACTGGTAAGCATCCATCTTGGATATGCATCCTCATCTTCCTTCTTTCAGCCAACTGATTACCCGATTTTCGACGACCTCGATGATCAAGAAGATATAATTCTGCAAATGCCATCAGCACTCCCTCCAATTTCTCTGAACTCTATATATATGCCTCATGATTCTATCTTATATGGTGATAAGGTAGGATTTTCTGTAAGTCCACTGTGTCTTGATCGTATGAGTGGATTAGTCTGTGTATTTGTATGCAACCATGTTAACTCCTATTCTTTCAGTTTATTCTCGGAGGAGATGAGCACATCAACAGTCCTGTAGTTGTGACTGACAATGGAGGTGAGTACAGACTACAAAGAGCATCTGTAGTATAGTAGTATGTTGTTACAGATATGTTGACTGCCTTGCCTTCATCAAATGAACTTTTATAATTTTTGAATGTAGGAGCGTTTAGAAAGGCTATTACGACTAGAACAACGTAAACTTCTATTACTATTGTTAGTTTGAAATGTTACTTTACATATTTATATTAAATTAATAACGAATTGTACCAGCATCTTCATACTTCCTTTGAATCCTTGTATGATATTCAGGCGTTTCTTCTATCACTCTCATTACATACTAAGTGGAAACTCATCATTCACTACTTGCCATAACGTTTACTTCTTAATAAGGTTTTATCATTCCAAATATATATTCTTTTCATCTCTTTTCTATTAAGTTTTATCTTTTCTTCTCTGAATAGCGAGTGACTCGAATCGAGATCTTGTTCATTTCCTTCATTGTGATACCAACGAATTGCAATTTCTTTTTTTTGTAATTTTTAGTAAATTTTGGGAAAATATTGTTTGTGTCTTTCTTATCTGAAACATCAGTGACGTTCTCAAACGATGGCAATAAGCTGATCATTTGAACAGAACCGTCATCTGCATGGAATGACATGGCGAACAACAGCCTCACCCTGGCAACTGGCTCGTCTCTGATCTGTCGAAGATCAAGTATCTCTGTGGGAACAAGCAGTACTAGAGATGATTCAAATGAGATCCTGGTTGGGTTTATGATGATGATGAAAACTAATTATGTCTCTGTTGATATAGAGAGTTTCTAGGTAACGATGGTTTTAATAGCAAACTGAAAGATTTTCGTGTTTCGCTGAAGTCGTAGAAGAACTCTATTTTCTTCAGACCCGCGGATTATCTGGGAAACATTCAAGGATGCCAATAACATCTTTACAAAAATTTGAATGGCAATTAGGAAGTCTTTCCATTATCAAAGATTAGATCGAATTGAGTCATTGGGATAGACAATATGGTATGAAGGTAAGCGTGAGAGTTAGAATTGAAAAAGAATGAATCTTCTAGTGGAAGGTGGGGCTGGAGAAATCTGTGATATGTGTATACAGACGGTCTCTTTCTTTCCTCATATTTCATGATAATTTCCATTCTTTTATGAACGCTCATCCGGATGTATGCTCTCTGTTCTACATGGAATTTGCAATGATAATTCAGATCACAAAGCTGCGCCCTAATCATAATTGATATACGTGATCTTACGTTGGTTACTGTAGTTGAACCAAGCTTATTCATGACATCTCCGATGTTTTCGAAATTAATTTGATTATGCTAATTTATATTTTGTTTTCTTTTTATTCGTTCTGCTGTTGGGTTCTCACAGGTACTGCTACACTGATCTCTCGATTGAGCAGAATGTGTGTCGTCAGTTGATTACCATGGTGAGGAGATTATAGTTTACATGTGTCACAGGTGGATCAAAGTAAGTCTTTATTGTCTTTTTGAATACTTGTTGTTCCAGTTCAGTCATCCACTTCATATTCTCGGCCATCGTTTGTCGCTTACGAATCTGTTCGCTCCATCCAGGACTGAGATGTCTCGTTAGCAGTTCCAAAACCGGGAAAGAAGAAGAAAAAAAAATAATGAGCTTCTGACTGTTTGAGAAGTTGGTATTCTCAAATAGGATGATGAAGCCCATCTTAAACCAAGCAAATTTTTTTGTTAAAATTTTCTGGTTTTGTTCCGAGGTCACCTTGCCGCAACCCATTCCCAATCCTTAAAATCTCGATCGCTTCGAGACCAATTTGTTCAAAATTTGGAAAAATTCTTATTTTGCAAGATAAATTCCAGCTTTTCCTTGTTTAATTAATGTTGTTTTGAATATTATCAGTGATGAAATGAGTGTCGGAGGGTTTGTTGGTCGGTGATGAACGAGCTTATGAAGGTTCGGCTGTTGTGCACCTATGTTTGGCATGTGGGAGTCCAAGATTTCTGTCCATTTGAAATAAAAATTTATTTTTCATGTGTTTCCTTCGTAATCAGATGGTTTAAACCGTTGTTACTTGTATTTTTGTATTAAATATCTTCATAACTCATAGACAATAGAAGCACAGGTGGTTCGCATTGATGTTCAGATTCTACGGAATCCATTCGCTGGAGAGTTACTGAACGGAGGGGGTACGCTGGCTCCTGTGCATTGCTACAGGTTAGATCATTATAGTGTTGTTTTCAGTGGCTTGTTTTAGGCGTGTTTGATATCCGTTTGTTCCCATAGGATAAGATGCCTAATCAGTTTCTCTGTTCTCCATATTCGTATTTCTCTTATTCGAGAAGTTAAGAATGAACTGAGCAGGATCTCAACCACAAGCAACGATGATCGTGAGCAGCTGTGTTCAAAAGCATTCCGTGCAAGTTGCTTCAATGTAAGTTGTTTTCTTAAGTTCTGGGTTTTGAGTTGGTGATATGTGAAGTAATCGTTCCGAGGAGGGGGAGGGAGCTGCCAGCCTCAGTTTCATAGTATCTCTGTCGAAGAACGCGCATCCCAATCGTAAGTAGGATAATGAATGTTATGGCTTCACTTCATTTCATTCTCAGTTTGCTAATGAGTGTTTTTTTATTGTCTCGGATCTGTTCAACCAAGCAAAGCAGTAGCAGGTAAGATCATGTCTTGGATGTATTTCTGTCTTTTCAGTTTTGAAAGCAGAGAAGCAATATCTTGCTATTAGATGGTTTGTGTTAACTTATTCATGTTTTTTTCATTTCAGGTATGTGATTAGAAGAAAATTATCTGATTTGGACCAGTTTGAGCAGAGTTATGAGTTTCTACCCATTGTTGAGTCTTTGACACCGCTCACTTCAGATGTAAGTTAAGAATAAAATTGGTTGAAGTTTCATTCCGAGCAATGATGATCGTGAGCGGTTGTGTTGAATCGCGCACTAATCATTCTGATGAACAATGGAATGATCATTTGTGAAACGCGAATACTACATGGAGCGTTTGCGCTTCACATACCCTAAGCAGTCAAATGACTGTGAATCAGAGCTAAATTGACCGTTTTCAGATTTTCGTTCTTGTTTTGGTTGTCTGTGATAACTGGAGATATTGGAAAAAGAAGGAAGTTCTATGGTGGAGTAGTATGTTTCTTATGAAGTGACCCTCAACTTTTTTTTAGATTCTGGTTCTTTTTTTTTCAAAGACTTCAGTCACAGATACCTGCATCTGCTCAGATCGTAGGACTTGGAAGTTTCTCGTATGTCTCAATGTTATCTTCCTCGGATTAATCGTTATCTTTTCAGTCTTCTCAGATATGCTCACTGCTTCCTTGTCCCGTTAGGAGATCTCGAAGTGAATGAGCAGCAGGTAAGAAAGAGACTTCAAACTGAGCTTATAGCTTCTTTCTAGATTCACAAATGGAGCATAATCTGCTGCTGTTTGATGAAGGATCAGCGACGACTAGGCTGGTAGCTGGCAGGATCTCGCCAAGTTCAGAGGACTTGGAAGTTCATCGTATGTCTCAGTCTTCTCTTTCTCGGATTAATCGTTAACTTTTCAGTCGACCCAGATGTGTCCACTGCTTCCTTGTCCTGTTAGGAGATCTTCAAGTGGATGAGTAGCAGGTAAGAAAGAGACTTCAGACTGAGCTTATAGCTTCTTTTTAGATTTACGAATGGACCGTAA